AATTAAAAATTCATACTTTTATTTCAAAAAAATAAGATAAAATTCTGAAGTTGATATTTTTTTTTGTATGGTAAGTAAGAAAAAAAAAATTCGTTCATCTTAAAGTCTAAAATAAAACTGTAAAATATAAAAAAATTCTAAAATTACATATTTTAATGATATGTCATTTTATTTTGAATTTATAAATATTTATGATTTTATTTTATAAAAAAAATTATTAATAAGAAACATTTTGTCATAAATTATCGTTATATTTTTTAAAATAAATTCCTATTTTCTAACACAAAATAAAAAGTATATTAAATTTTTCTATGCAGGAATGAAATTAATTATAAATATATGTTTAAATTAGGGAGTTTATATTATATTAGTTTAGGTATGTGAGATTTTGTTTAAAAAAATGAATAGAATTTTAATAATGCTACAATTGTTTTGTTTTTTTAAAGTATATTAAACATTTTTAATCAAGGTACCAGCAAACTCGTTCTTAATACTCTTTTTTTTTGAAAAATTTACCTAAGGTTTTGTCCAAAAGATGTTTCAAAAGTTACAACACTTTAAGCAAAATTAGAACTAAAATTTTCCAAAATTTAAAAATAATATTTTTGTCACATTTTATATTTTTCATTTAAAAAATAAAACTTATCATGTATTTTTCAATAACGTATTAAAAGTTTTTCAAGAATTAATTTTTTTTATTTTTAGGTCGCATGGTTGAGCGATAAATTAAAATCATATCAAATATGCTGTACATACATGTGCCGTAATGGTATGAAATCTTTCACAATCAGAATCTTTAATCCCACGTTTTTTTCGGAATATTTTCAAAACCATCAGGACTTCGAATAATTCTAAATGCCGAGTTTTAGAATGCTCACTTATTAGTCATTATTGATTCAATGAAAATCAAAAAAATTTTATACAGGCTTTAATCTTTGAAAATACACATATAATTTTTATAGCCTTATAAAACAAATAATTTTTTTTGTAATTACTTGAATTTAGGTGGTGGAAGCGAACGAACCTTTGTAATTTACTTAGTCTTAGAATTGAACCTTTACCATATTTCTAAAAGGAGTGAATTTAAACGTTTTCAATTTAAAAATAGTTTACAATCACTTTGTTTCAAAAATTTAAATAGATTTAAGATCGTTTTTAGAAATTGATATATTTTACTTTTATTACCAACAGCTGTTTTATTTAACATGAACTCCAAAATATTTACCTAAAATAAATTTATAATATTTAAGAAATTATAAACAAACCATAACTACTAAAATAATTTGTCCCTGTCCGAAAACATTAACATTTGGGTCTCTCTCTAATGAGACAAAAAGACAATGAAACATGTGATATCTAAACTTGTGTATTTCTTACATATCTATATTAATAACTGGCTAACTTGGGTACAATCCATCTTAAGATCCTCAGTTTTGGCTGAGATATGTTTTTCAAAATTATTTTTAACTCTACAATACTCTGATGGGGTATATGAAACCCCAGGCATCCTAGAAATGATATTAAATAAAAACGGTAAAATATTATGATCTGGATTCTTCAGTAGCTTCATCAAATATATCTTAGAATCTATATTCCAAATTTCATATATTTCGTTGAGTAGTTTTTAAGATATAAGCATTTTGTGACTGATTGGGGTTTGTGAGAACTCACCAGAATAAATTTGTATGTTCTATATTTTTTTTATATTTGAAATGTATTAGTAATTTTTTTTTATATTGAAGAATAAAGATCCATATTATGAATTATCATGATTATATGATGGATAAGTTATTTTTTTTTTATATTGAAGAATAAAGATCCATATTATGAATTATCATGATTATATGATGGATAAGTTATTTTTTTTTAAATTTTGGCACAAATTATAATTATCCTCATCATCTTTTATCTAGGCTTAAGAAATAAAAATATTTAAATATTTTATCAAGCTTAAGGTTAGATCTATCTTATATCCAAATATCAAACATAATAATGAATATTACTGAAGATATATACATTTGAAATTGGGGTCTATTAAACCCCACCGAGTACTAACCTCTTTTTTTTCACCAGAGTATTGAAGGGTTAAGAGAAAGCGTTGCCGCTTCGAAAGTTGTCTCAAAAAACGTATTTACTGGGAATAAAGTATTTTGGCAATTTTTCAGCTTCAACTATTAATAGAATGTCCATGTTTATGTTAAAGAGGATAAAGATCTAAGCAAGGAATAGATCTTTGCGCTAAGAAATTTTGGTGATCACATTAACAGGGTGGTTACCAGTCAGCAATTCCCGGGGCTTAAGAGATTATGGGCTGGCTCTGGATGCTTAAGCAATTTAGTATATGGAATTGCTTTAGCTGTGGGGAGAACGATCACTAAAAAATTTGGATTGCATAGTGTCTAACATACTAGTTGGTTTATTACATTTGAGACAGGTGCAGTGGGAAAATACTTTACATAAGCGTTAGGAACCTGATAAAAAATTTTCTAGGTTTGGTACGGCCAAAGGTTGTAATATTTTAAAAAAATGAAGATCGTAAGGGATCAGGTTTCAAATTTTTTTAAGTGTAGTTCACTCCAAACGGGCCCCGAAAGACTTCAGACCAAGTTTAGGTGGATTAAGGTTATTAGGAGCAAAAACAAGAAATCAAGTTTGGACAGAATCTAATAATTTTTACTTTTTTAGATACTAATCACAAAATGACTAACATTTCCAAACCCAGTCTGGATCCGAGCATAGAGGAATAAAATTAGGTTCGGTCTAGATTCATAATCCTGAATATTTTTGGGTTCAGGTGAATTCTGTCCAGATGGCCCAAAGGTTCAGGTTGAAATTTGGTGTAGAACCATACTTTAAATGTTATATCGTATTGTAAACATATGGATTCTTAGTTGTTTATGTAAATGTGATAAAATATTGAAATTAGTACACTACGTTTTAAAACAAGGTTAATGAATAAATAATATATTTTTGGAACACGGATTGTTAACCCTTTCGGTTGCGGTAGTGCATATAAAACCAATTTCGACCTTTAGCATTTATATTGATCCAAGATCTATAAAAAAGGGGAAGTATTTGATGTAAAATGTCCAATGATGATAAAGATATATAATAAAAATTTGGGTCTGTTGACTATTTCGACCATTTAAGTCTTTCGCCAAAGTGACATAAATGGTGGCTGCCAATATTCTTTTGAATGATAGATGCGGCTATTATCAATTCATTCATAATCTACAATATTCTTACAGACAATAAACTCTGATCGAAAGAATTCCTAAGACAAAATTATAGTTGATATAATAAATTCCTGTTGTCTCATATTTTTTTAAAAATGTTATAAAATATATTTCATTAAAATAAAAATAAAACCAGGAGGTTATATTGCACAAATCAAAATCAAGAGAAAATAAAATAGCACGCCGCTTTTTTATATGGCTGTAGAGATAACATCGTGGATTTATTAATTTAAGGACAGTGGCGAAGTACGTATTTTTGAGCGTAGAAAAAAATGACTACTGTGCTATTTTGAGGTTAAATATAATCATTTTTTGCCTTCAGTTCAGAGTCCTTCTATGACTTCTGGTTGCCTGGGGCAAAATAAATTACACCGCTCTTTAAAGCGCAACTTTTTCCCAGCCTTTAAAATAAAATCCACAAATCAGGAAATGGGTATGCCATTTTTAAAATGGGATTCGTGAATAAGCAGCTAATTCAATATATTTGTGTAATATATTTTAATTAACTCTTAATAAATTTGTAACAAATGGAAATAGGTAATATAAACACAATTTTTGTAATATTTATACATTATAGAAATAATAATTCATATAGATGCATAAAACGCAAAATATGGTTACCCAAAAGCAATCTAATTTTAAAATCCAGAGCTGTATTCTGTTGGCTGTCTTTTTTAATACAAAATGTAGATTTAATTGGTTGTATATTAATTTGACTGAATCCAAATGACACTTAAATTGACTTATTCATTCTTTATAAAATATAAAACCCCCCAACATCTACATGAGAGAAGAAGGATGAGTAAAGTATTTGCTACCAAGCTATTTAAACGAGGTAGTCATCTAAAAGAGGTAGGGGATGGGCACCTAATGGGGGGGGGATAAAGTTATTGAAGGGTAACCAATAATATCCTAGTATAAAATCGGGTAAAATATAATGCTGTAAAAATTATTTAATAATTGAATTATAGACCTATTCTAAAACACATAGATTGCTAAACATTACAAAATTTTTGGAATATTTCTTGCTAAACATAAAGATATATTTTATAATAAAATTAAATCATAATAACTCTAAATATACTACAGGACCAACAATATTCTTTTCTTTATAATAATAAAGATTATTTATCAATCATTTTATGTTGCTAGTAGCCATTATAATTAAAACTCAATAACTAATGACGTAGAAATTTAATTTCTCTCATCGAGGCGGTAGCCAACTACCCCCTCCTTCAAAAATTGGTTTGCTTAATGTTAATAGGATCAATAATTTTACACTATTAATCTCAAGTATGAGCGCGTTACCATTTGAAAAATAGCGATTTTTCCTCAGATTGAAATAATTCTGAAAATTTGTTGCGCTATGAAAATTTCACTATCATTATTATTAGACACGGTCCTTGTTCTAATGTTTTAGGCGGCAGAAATGAATCAATTTCTTTTAATGAAAAAAATTGTCAAAGGAAATAAATAAAGAAAATTAGATCTAAAATCAAAATCAACAAATGGGCAAATTCAAAATAAAAAATATAACCGTAGATATTATAATTAATATGATAAATAGAAAATTAACTTGCTGGGCAAATTTATTTTGCCGATTGGAAGTTCTGAGGAATAACAGATTTGCCTAGCATGGTTAAGGATATAATTATAATTTAGACTTAGAATAGATATAAATTTAAGTTTTAAAGGGCTTCGTAATCGATGATATTATAATTGTAGCTAATTTTATAATCATATGTTTTAGCTACTATAATCTTAATTTCTATAAAGTGCCATATGCAGTATATTGACGCTTTAAAAAATAAAAAGGTTAATTATTTTATAAGTAATATTATTAATAATATATTTTAGCCGTATACAGGAGGGGAAGAAGTATATGAAAGCTCTTATGATTTGACTTTAGATATAAAGCCTATTTTTTTTTATATTAATAATCATGATGAAATGGTCAAGCAAATGTTTAAAGCTGTTGGAATATCTTATATTAAACAAATTTTGCCACCTAAATTATTAGTAAAGGAATTTTCTAAAAATTTACCCATATTTAATAAATGATTATTTTATGATAAAGGAATTTATAATTTTTAGATATATATTATTAAGTATACTATTATTGGCTTGATATGCCATTTGGGTTTTATTGTTTTTATTATTGATAAGATTAAAAAACTTATTTTATATTTACTAAATACATTGTTTTGCCTAGCTTGATTGTAGCTGCAAATTATTTTTTTTATTATTTAGGACATACCAATGTTAGATTTACAACAAGCTTGCATTCAAGAATTATCTCAACTAGAATCTACTACCATCAAAAATATAATGACAGATAGTAATTATTAAATAGCCTTTATTTATTTAGAACTATTATTTTTAGGAAAAATTAATCAAACTTTAATCCATGAGTCAAAGAATCATATTTTATTGACCAAAAATCATTTGTTGGCAGATGATAATAAAAAAGAACAAATAAATTCTAATAGCCTTAATTCACATAAATCAGTTAAATCAACCAAAATCTCTTCTCAAAGTCCTGATTCTTGTACCAATAATAATATTTGTTATAATCCAAATTTCAATAAAGAAACAGATGGTAATGTGTTTTATTTATTCAATTATAGAAATTTAATAATATGGCTTTTTGGATTATTAATAAACAAGGGGTTTAGATAAATTTGACTAAATTTGAGATTTACTTAAACTACATATTCCTATAAATTTTTGTCAAATTTCGAAGATAAAATGGAATCTTATTTTATATCTTAAGATTATCTAGTAAATGCAAGGTAATTTTAAAAAAATATATAAATAAACTATCAAAAACTAAAACAAATTGCCATTAACCTATAAAAATTTTAAAATCTACAAATTTGCATGATAATCAAATGGAAATCTCAATTAATTTACACATTTTTTGCCATGACAGAAGTATAATTTTTAAATTTGTTGTGTATTTTTTTTAGCATGTTACCATAATTATAAATCAGGCTAGATTTATCAGTAAAATAAACCTGACATATAACCCCCTTTAGGTTGCATCACACAGAAAATAAATGAGACTAGATGTCCTGCACAATGGCTAAAATCCCTCAATACCATCAAAATCATTAAATTTTATAAAATGTCAATTTCTAAGGAAATTTATATTATATAGTATATATCTGCAAATTTTATTCATATTTTATCACCCCCATTCACTTCTCTCATCTTATGCTATTTTGCCAGAATAAAAAATTAATTTGATTGTGAAGCTTCAAAATATTGCAGATATTTAAATATAAAATATATAATGCTGAACTCTGAGTAATGAGTATTGTTGCCTATATAAATAATACTAATTTATAATTTTGTGACAAATCGAATGAATTAATTCTAGTTATTGGATGAAAATCTCAATCCCTTGATATAATTATCCTGAAAAAAATTCCCAGAAATTTATTGTCATTTTTCATATTTAAATTGATAAATATTATTATTTTTTTAAGTGATAGATGACCCTACATGAACTGAAGAACAAATTTTTAGACGAAATTCTGATTAAGGTCAAAAAATGGTTTAATAAAATTTAGCGGTAGCTTGGAGTTTTCCCCAATTTAGAAGAATTTTTATAAGGAGATTTAATTTCCTTCCATGAATATAAGAAAAATAGCTGGTATTATCTATAAATTATTATGTAATATATTGAAATAGTTATAATTTTAATAACAGTATTAATAATATAAAGCTTCAATATGTCAAAAAATAATGATTCATCCCATCAAAAAAATTTAACAAATTTCTGAATATTTTTTAAATATTTTAATGTCGTTTCTGAGTTAGCTTATTGAATGTATCATGAAGAAAAAATTGTTCTTTCATTTCATTCGATTAATCATCAAATATAATTTGAAATGTCTGGAGGTCACGAAATTAATTTCCCAAAGAAATGCTACTCTTAAATTAAATAGACTTCTGATAAAGTTTAAAGAAAATATTTACATTGAAATAAGGATTGATAAATTTTTTATAAGAAATTTAAATAAGGATCTATAAATTTGTAATTTATGATCTAATTCTGCACAAACACGTTATACAAAATAGATAACGTTTGCCTCACATACATATAGTCCAGATTTTTAACAATCTTTGAAAGTCCCACAAAAATTCTAAAAAAAGATCTCACACCATTTATAATTTTTCGAATATTAAATGATATTTAAAACCTCTCATTCACAGTTAGCGCGAATTTGCAATGAAGTATACAAAATATGCTGTATTTTTATTTTTTTGCAGCAGCTAACTATGAATGAAGGGTAAGCGCCTAAGAATGTGTAGTTTAAATTTAAGCAAACCCCTTTGTCCTGGCTAACAAAATCAATACTTTATTATGGCAATATATAAATTGTATCGAAATAATATGAAATACAAAGGAGAAAGAATTATAATAATAATATATATATTTTTTTAACTAAGTAATTTATTTGCAATTACAATAAAGAAAATATTTTATTTATAAATTTATTCCTGATTTAAATAAAACCAAATCATAAATCGATGATTTGATACTATAAAACAGAGTTTGAAAAAATTTTTTATTTTTTAGATCACAAATAAGATTTATTTTAAGAAGACCAAAATCACTTTTATAAAAATTTTGATTTCATCATGAAAGATTTTTATGCATAAAAATCACAAAAATATAACTTATTTATATTCCAAATGGAGGGGGTCGCCACAGAACTATTAACTTTAATATCTCAAATAAATTAGGCTTGGCTAACTACTTAAATCCCCCAGAACCCTTTCACCTATCCCTGTCTGATGGAAAAAGGCCTAATAGCTTTACAATATTCATTGGTTTAGAGGAAAACATCTCATTTGGGATTTAACCTTTCTCGCAGTTCTCCTCTAACCCAATCATTGACTCAATTATTACGGCCGTAAGGTCAAAGATTAGAAAGTATCACAACTTTCTAGATTTTAATATTATCTCTATATTATATTTCTTTCTACCAATGACTTCTTAGGTCCCCTAGCATACCATTTTTTTGAAAACTTAGATAAAAAAATTTGCAAATTAATGAGAATCATGGATCCTCTTTTAAAATTTTACTATCAATTCATATGTTCATGTTCCGGGGGCAACTATCTTAGTTTCCTCGGATCTCAAGGAAAGCTTCCTTTTTAAAATTTATTGATTTTTTCCCCTCCTTATATGTTCATGTTCCACTCCATATGCCAAAATTTAATTTTCATTTTAATATTTTTTTTTAAATCTAAACAGCTTCCAGTGAAAAATCAGTTTCATCTCTCGAGATCGTTCCATCTATACATGACTCAGACTCTTTTTTGTTCAGTTCTGCCAGTCAAGAATCTAATTTACGTGATGGCACAACTCACCTCGATCGAAAAAATCGCAAATTTCAAAAACGTGCAAAATCTAGAAAAAATATTGACAGCCATGATCAGAGAATCGAACGCCGAAATCGACACTCATCTAAATCTCGTAAAAAACGTCGATCGAAAACGAGGAGTCTTAGGTTTAAAATATCTATAGATAAAATAAGTATTTAGTTTCTTTTTTTAAAAAGCCGCTCTGCTGATTTATACAATTTAAAAATTAAAATTAAATCAAAACGCATGAAATAAACATATTTATAAGGATGCTTGCAGGTATGCATTCTATATTCTGGTCAACATAATCCTTGTTACTCACAATTGTTCTTATTTTTGTGTGATGGGATTATATTTTATAAGGGCCATGCTATAACATTCTGAATTTACAAGCCACATGCCATAAATGACTAAACCCTTTTCCATCAATTTTAATTAACAAAAATACTGGCATATAGTAATTGTTTAATTTATAAGTGGCATCTGTGAAAATATCTTTAGGATATGCATCAAACATTTTTCGCACATCTCCTGAAAATAAATTCCCCTAAGTTCATCACCATCAATATACATATTTTATATTATTCGCCCCATTATGATTCTCCATTAATTGTACCAATAGGTCATTTAATTTATTATAAATGTTGTCATCCGAATTTGAATTCAATTTAATTTTTAAATAGTATAAATCAGCAGCTGTTACAAACATACCCGGCTTGTTGAAAGGTGTAATTATTTTAGATAATTTAAGACAATATTGTTAAATTATTGCTTAATATATTGGCCCTTCTTTGTTAGGGCATTTGTTAAATTCCTCAACATCTATAAAAGAAATTTAAAACAATTATTTGATTAATAAAGATGAAAATAAAATTTAATTGTCCAGTCATATATAAATTGTAAAATATAATATTGATATGCATTCAAAGGATATTAAAATAAATTTGAAATATAAATACAAAAGTTCAACTTTTCTACAGAGCTAGCTTCCTTTTAGCAGATTTGTATACATATAACCAGAATTGTTAATTTAATTAATATCTCTAAGTTAATTTTTTTATAATAAATTTTATTTTATAATGGATGGCCAGAAAATTTTTAAATTATTAATTTTGATATTAGGCCTACCTTACATGAATATTTTTAAGATATGAATGTGTATATATATATTTGAAATGTATCAACTCTGGTTTATATATAAATTGGTATCTAGAATAAATTAATGTTTTAAAACCATTAATAAATATTAATCAAAATAAAATTATTCATGATTGTGGGTTTTGTCAAACTTTTCTAACACAAATATATATCCATTTTTATTAGGTTTAAGTTTGTAAATAATTTTGCTATTGTACCCTTGTTTTAAAGTTCTCCTTTCTCTCACACCTTTTGAGCTAGATTTGACGACCCCCTCTTTAACAATTATATGTAATTATTTTATATTTATATATTGGATTATCATGAGGCTTGGAACGTGATATGTAATAATTAATTAAGGTATTCTTCTCATTATTATTCATAAATTGGTTTAGAAAAATCATTTAATTCCAAAACATATTTTAATTCCTGAATAATAAAAGCATCTTATATAATAATTTTAAACCATTTCATTCTCCATTCAAAGAATAATTAAATTTTAAAAATCCGTTAAAAATATTTATTAAAAAAACAAGTGTGTAGAATAAAAAAAGTAAAAAAACCTTATTCACGATTTTTTGCTGATATAAAAAGCATTCTATCAAATCATAAACTATTATACTACGAAACGCAAGAAAATACTATAATTTTTTATAAAGTAATTGCGTAATTTTATTATTTATAGCCATCGTTCGGAAGAAACCCCCCGTGGCGCGGAAAAAATGAAGGAACTGGAAATGAGAGCCCGCGCTATAAAAGCTTTGGTGAAACGACAAAATGCTTAATTATGATAGTCAACTCCTAATTATTTATATTCACACAAATTGAAATTATGTGTATACTAATACTATACATTACATACGATATAATATTGTAAATATCCTAATCCTGGTTAAATCAAATATATAATATTATAATTTTATACTATCATTTATTCTTTATCTCTATTATGGAATGTGGAATTTTTCCAAGAAAGTTAAAAACTCTTTGTTACTATATGCAAAAAATAATAATTTTGGTGAATTTAAACGAATATTAGTTTTATTTTGTACTTAAAACCTTAGATTTCTCCTTACCCCCCCGAAGCCTCAGTGGTAGATTTCTTTTCGATCTTTTCTCAATCATTATTTTGGCGCTTTGCAGTTCAAAAATTGTGACTTCCACACTATTTAATTCAGCCAGTTCCATGACTCCTTTAAGTTTGTAATGTTTCGTATCTTGACCTCTGTCTACTCTCCTTTTTTTATCATTGCTATATCAGATCTCTCCTTTATATCGTTCTTTATCAATTTCCTACTATTTCTCCAAATTCTCCTATCGTATTATTTTGAAATATTTTTTTATGATAGGATTTTGTAGATTTATCTGAACTGCACTCTGGCCTTCGTCATGGTGACTTTCCCATTAATGAACGATGTGAATGTGATATAACGTTATTTATTTTATAAATTTTTATATTTTGGACTCTTGCCTGCGTGGTCCTTATTCTTCAAAGCTCGTATATACCATTGGTTTTTCAGTAGTAAGGACATGGGACTCGTTTATTATCAATATTACAAAGAAACTGAATTGATGACTCGTAAATGCGTCCCATTGTTGGTCATGATCTTTTATAAGAACATTCAACTGCTAAATGCTCTAATAATACATTCACTATTGTTATCGCTACAGTTATTTATTATATTTACCTCTACAACCAATATTTCCCATCAAATGGTCCTGCTAAAATAACATGTACGGCTCCAACGGACGTTCAAGTATACTCCACGAATACAGTGGAGTCTCATATCCGGGAAGTTTTCATGGCATCTTGTGTTATTTTTAGAAGTTATCTAATCAATAACACCAAATGAACCCAGCGATTCCCCACCTTTATATTTTTTTAATATTGTGTGATCGCCCTCCTGTTATTTGTAATTTTAAGTCTTCTCTCCTAAATACTCTGTGGTTTGTAGTGTTTAAAGGAAAAAAAATCTTCCAAATAAATATGCATAGAATTTGAGAACTGCAAAATTTCACAACTCCACGATCTATCGGAGTAAACCATTTTTCTGCGATTAATAACGTCCTATATGATGCACCATTGAATGTTCGCCTTTTTCAGGCATCAAATGAAATCCTATTCTAGCACACTTTCTGATGCATCACAGATTATCCCTATTAGTATGTTTGTCGTTAAAGGGTAAAATATTTTTGACGTAAACATTAACTTAAAGATTTATTAAACAATATTTTTTGTAGTTTTTTAAAATTATAATATATAATAAACATGAATTGTTCTAAAGTGAAAAGAAATTTGTAGTAAATGATTTTACATCAATTCAAAGGATATGACTAATTAAATTATATATTTATTTTGTATTAAAAGACTATATACATACCAAAATAAATTAGAATTTACATATGAAATTTAAACATTATTTTATAAATTTGAATCTTCTCATCCGATTGGATTTTTTAATACTACTTATCTCAATACTTTTTTTTCTCAGCTGGTTTCCCTTTTCCAGTCTTAGAACCATATTCTGAGATTTTGCGAACTGCGGATCCAGTGGTTTTTTTCTCTAGGGATTTTCTTTGTACATTGCTACCAGTTAATTTGTCCAAGGATTGAGATTTCGCTTTTTCCTTGGTCAGACCTATAGCTCCTGCCATTTCTTTTAACTTACTTTCTATGTTCATATAACTCCCAGCTGTATATTTGAAATAAGATTAAATAGAGCAATTTTATGTGAGGGCCACTTAGAATTTTTTAAAACTTATTCAATATATTTCCTAAATTAAGTGCTAAAACTTTCATGCGTTCCATATATATCAGATTGCTCCATTTTGTCAAATATCGGACGTACGAATTCGAAATGAGTATATTGATAACCTCCGTAGCTGTCAGATGGAGCATATTCTGTAATCTCTTGATCTAGTAAATTCATAATTTTAATCAGATATAATATATTAGATATTCTTGGTAAAATAATATTTCTATTGGCCAGTATTATTAGAATTAAAAATTACTACAATTACTCCTTTCAGATTTTTATTATATCTTGTTAAAAAAATGAGAATATAAATAAAATGAAATAATATTTTTTTAAATATACCTTCAGGGGGTTTTTTGACTTCCAGTTCATAACTGCTATACGAGTCGTCGTCTTCTGTTGATTTTAAGAAATGAGAACCAATTTATATATTTTTTTAAAAAAAAGTATAATATTTAACTTTTGTTACTGCTTGCGGACCGAAATTTAGTAAAATATACATAGAGACAAATGGCTGCAATCACCAAAACGAGTATTAAAATGATGATACCAATTGTCACGTTTACGATGTTGTTAGCTTTCAGTCATAATCGATATTTAAATTAAAATTTAAAAAAAATTATTTTGACGGAAATTATGTTATATAACTTTCTTGTAAAGTTATATTAGAATAAAATACCTTTTATAAAATGGATTTCTTACAAGGTATATTTACTATATATATACTGAAAATTATAAAAATAATTATCCTACTATATTAATTTTTGTTCTCATTATAGGAATTTAAAAATCAAATAAAATCGAATGATTTAGATAGAAGAAAAATTAATCTTATTTAGGCCTATATAATTTAATAATTTCTAAGAGCCCTTCAATTGTACAATTTTTTTCCACTTTATTTCTTTCTTTCACATTCCAAGATTTCTAATTGTTCGAGCCCAAACTGGATCGAGATAATATCTTTAAAAATAAATAAGGAAGTTCGAAAAATTTTACGAGGAGAATCATAAGAATAGAAAAAAATGTAAAATTTGGATTTTTTTATAATTAGAAGATTTATAAATGATTAGGAAAACAAAATAACTTATAAAAAATTTTATGCTGCGAATTAATTTTAACCCGAAACCGGCCGGAATACATTGAAATCAATATCCTGTTAGACCAATCCAGATCAGGTGATTACAAACGCTATGATTTGAACCGGATACGGATAAATCCACATTGGAACAGGGTTCAAACTTCTATAGAAGTGAAGTCTAAAAATTTCTTAATCCTCCTTAGCATAATGATGAGTTTTAACATATTAAGTAGTATGATAATTCGTCATAAAAAAATTACATTTGTGTGAGATGCATTTGGGATGGTCATCCCAGGTCCCATTGATGCACGTTAAATCCGGTTTTCCCGATAGAATCATATTCGTGGGACAACTTACCACAATTTTCGAATTCATTGAATAAGTATCGTGAATTTTACTGTTAGTTTGAATATCGATTAAATGGGCAAGTTGGTCACTTTGAAATAAACATCCTTTGGTAAAAAAATATATTTGAACGATTATATTGTTGTTGTATTATCAACTCTTGTTAAATAATTTTATTAGTAATTTTTTTCAAAAATATTGCAGTATAAAGCTTTTTTTATAAAAATTTGGAAAAAGATAAACAGAAAAAAAATAATAAAACTTATAAATAAGAAATGAGAAATTATGTTGTATATATGAGATCCCAATATGTGAAAACCAGGAAAACGTTATTTCCGGAAGCATCATGAGCAGATAAATATGTATAAATGTCGAATTCGTAGAATATATTGGAATTCAGGTATATTAGCGACTTTAAAATTTAAATTATTTACAGCGCACATTTATTAATTTTTAAAAACTTGAATTCCGGAGTTGGACTCTAGCATGTACATGGTCCTTAACTCTATGAATTTCCGTCGAATTTTTAATCAAATTTTTTAAAATTATATTAATTAAAAGTTAAGTCAAAATTTAATGATGAAACTGTCTGTGATTCATAGGGTAGGTATTTCTAGCCAAAATAATATATTGTAAACGACGAGATTTGACAAATATGTGCAAACTTTTTTGCCATCTATAAGCTAAATCTTCAAGCTTACATAATATTATATTTAATAAAATCTTAATCGGGTCGTTTTAAAAATGCGATTTGGCCTTTTTGACAAACCTAGGTAAGGTATACTATAAATACACATGCTGAAATACAATTCAGGTAAAGTTTTTAAAATTAAAAAAAACTCTAAATTATTTGCATTTCAAAGATTCCAATATAATCCTAAGACATTATATACCAGCGGTATTTTGACTTACAAACTATCTCTTTTTCCTAAATAAAAATTTAATTAGTTTTATATATTTTTTTTTAAAAAAATAGATTTTTTATCAAAGAATTAAAATAAAATATGAAAAATTACCTTGTACACATTTTGGTAATTCTGTCCAGCCCTCAGTATGACATGTAGCAGATCCATTGATGGTTGCCGTAAATCCTGGAAAACAATTTATGTTGATAACCGTATTTATGGCGTATGTATTGGACGCCAAATGATTTACCACTGTGAAATTACCGTAATCTATTCTGGGCTCAAGACAAGCTATATTGTTAGTAATTATTATTGTAATAACATATTCAAGAGTCAAAATAGTTCCATCAAGCCAATTTTTACATGTTATAAAATCTCTCGAGTATAAAATTTGCCATTTTTATTGAATAAATAATTTGATTTAATATAAGGAAAATATATAACATGAAGTTATTTAAATATAGTTGTGTTTATATTTTTGCACATTACTTACAAATTAAATGAGGATCCATTACAGTATCAATAAGATTTGTTACAAAACATTTTTATATATTTATAACAACTTTCTTAAAAATTGTTTAAGTTTATCAATATGTTATTTTTAGATAATTATAGCAAGCAAACAATTTTATATGAATAGTTACAAATATATGGAAATGTTTTATAACAAATAAACACACTGTCATGTAATTGGAAAGAGATAAAAAAAAGACACCTTCAATACAGAAAGAAAAATATTGGATCTTTTAATGGCTAACAATACATTCACAATTAAAGATATTATAGAAAATTTACCTCAGGGATTTCCTAAAAACGATGGTATAAGAAAATATATTTAAAAAATAGGATAGTCCAAAAAACGTGCAGGAGAACTAGATAGGAGAAACACACCGGGCGCTATCAATATATGAATTATTGTAT